CACACGGTCTCCAAATCTAGAGACCAAAGAGACTATTATTATTCCTTTGAGAAATTTTTACAGTTTGTGCAACAGATCAGAAGAAATAGAAAACAATATTACATCCAACCTAGAGTAAAAAACTACTAAAATGAAAAAAAAAATGCTAAAATGAGCAATCCCAATAACAATGTGAGATTTCATAAAAGTCTACTACCATTAATTCATGTGCCCCAATTTACATTTTTAGTTGGAACATAGATTTTTGATGGCCCCCAAACAAATTCACGATAACAGTGTGCTGGACCATTATCACTCTGAGGGGAACATGGAAGACATCAGCCTATGTAATTCAGTTAGATCACATGAAGCCAGCAGTAAACAGCCAGGAGACACATCTGACCCCTGTTCCACAGGGCCATGAGCTGGTTGGCTAGGGCCACCTCTACCTGACTAAAGAGAATAGAATCTGGACATATGGTATCCTACCATGAATGTGTAACTGTGAACAAGGGGACAGAAAGCTCACTCTAGATCCCAGAAGGGGCCCGAGGATAAAGCATAGAAAATGGATTTGGTATGTGACTTAACAGCTATCTCATTTTAATTTCAATGTTACTCTTAGTCCCATGATGATATTATTCATCTTCTCCAAATTTTCTTTTCGTATTTAGATATCTCCAGCCTGAAGACTTCAGCCATGAGATGACAGTGTTTATGGCAGCTTGTAGGTTTACATCAGCTGTCCCACATACGTCTGACGAAACTTCAGATTTATTTGCTCAAGGCCCCAACAGTAAAACACGGTCTACACAGGTTTATCAAGTCATTTATCTATCTTTGTTCATGGTGAGAATAAGGCCAAATAGTTGCTCAGTTCCTCCAAAAGCCATGAATTTTTTAGCTTGCACAGCATTTCCACACTGTTGCATGATGACCCTTACACACACCACAAGGGAGACTGGGCACTCGCTGATAACTCATTGTAGATCCGTGGCTGTGCAGTGAAAAACTGTCTCTTGGAATCACCTACCTGTAGTTCTGTCTGGTTATGAAGATGGAAATAGTAACCCGTTTCACATGGCCAGTGACCTCACAGCAGAAAGCCCTCTGCAGCATCAGAAAGTCGGTCTGCATCTTTAGCTTCCATTGAGATCCTTCTGCCCTGACTGTGCCAGCCTCCTCCCTGGCCCAGACTGGGTACTCTATCTTGGACTTGTTCTAAGACAGTAAAGCTCCATGTTCACTGTGATTGTGATTCTACAAGGCTTTAATGAACTGAGCCAAAAAGAACAAGAAAGTTCTACCACAGCCAAGCTACCATGTAGCAGAAATTCTCTGAGCATTTTTCAACTGAATATACCATCTTCTTCCCAAGAGAAAGTCAGGAGAGTGAGGAATCTGAGTTCCATTTCATCCTACAAAATACAGCCCCTCAGGGGTTTGGCTGAGAGGAGTCTAAGAGTCACTAAAAGATCATACTAAAAATGAAGAAACCAATAAACCAAGGAGTGACAAGACGGATCTGTGGAAGAATAGTATAGAAATCTTACACAAGACACAGATGAGTTCCTCATAGAAGACCTACAACCAGGGAATCCATACTTGCAATGAGAAATCATTTTTACCTGTCAAGTTAGAAAGTACTATGCACTACATGTTCATACCCTTCCAGTATTCTAGTGTCCAAACTAACTGTTAAGGTGGTGGCACTTGGAGGTTAGAGCTCTGGAAGGTAAGGAGATTTGGATGAGGTATTGAGCAGGGATCCTCTGTAATGGGATACAAAAATATCTTTACAGGGAGTGAAGAGATGGAGCTTGCTCTCCTCATCAGCGGAGTTGTCGGCTGTTGGAAGACTAGCGAGTGGAAACTAAAACTTGGGAGATTTGTTAAGAACTTGCTCACCTTGAGAGCTGTAGACAGCCCACTGGTTGTTTAAACCACCCAATTTACTTTTTCCAGTGTAGCAGCTTGAACTGATTGCTATAGCAATCAGAAATTCCCAGACAACACCCAGGATTTGGGGACAGATTTATTTAAAACCAGACTGGCACTGACTAGGAATCAATTGTTCCTCAAAATGCCAGGCCAGGTTCTCTGGTGGTGTGGGCTTGTATAGAACATGCAAGCAGGAAGTACAGAGACAGAATAACTTGTCAATTTGGGATTGGTTTTTATGATGTCCTTCACAGTGACCAGCTATGCATCACAGTGACCAGTGATTTCCAGGAAACAGAAGCAACTGGAACCACAACAGGAACTATTACCTGGACAGCTAAGAAACTGAAATATACTACCTGGGGGGGGGGTGCATTTCCCGTTAATGAGAAGACAGTAAGGTTGAGGATTAATGACATTCTGTAGAGCAGCTGCAACATACATCAGTGGGCTCCACTTCCCTCTCTGCCTCTCCGGAGTCATCCTCTTCTGCTTCTCCCCATCACACCTGCTGTTTGAGCTAGAAGAAAATCCTCTCACACATTGTGTGTCGTATGTACACAAATTTACCCCAGCAATGCCCTGTTAGGAATTTAACTGTCCTAGATACTGACACAAATAGGAGATTCTATATACAAGAATATAATTGGAAAAACTTGGAAACTACCTAACTGTTCCTAATAGAGATTTGATTAAATTATTATACATTGATAAAACTAAGTGCTATGCCACAGCATATTGAAGTGCCCGTGGGAAACATTGCTTTCATGTGGTAACATGCAAAATTTTTTGAGGTTTGTCCGTAACAAAAATGGTAATATTTCATACATTACATATTGTTAATTATCCTATATTATTTATTAAATTAATATATTTCCAGTCTTATATCTTGCAAAACAACTGAAAATATCCAGAAGATGAATGGAAGTTACTTTACATTTAACCGAGTGTTAAGACAGCTAACCCTCAGTGAAGGTAAGAGGTACAACTGTAAAAACTGATAACAAATTCAATTCAGTCTTTTGACTATGTTGCTTTACTCTCTTGACTAATGTGCTCTTTTTCATTAATTTATCTTCCTCCTTCCTGATGTAAAAGGTGATTGAAAAGTATTTAATGAAATGATACATTTTGTGCTAGGGAATATTAGCCCAGAATAGTCAGCATCAACAGCCATTCATTAAACATGCTGAATATCAAGATAAAAAAGAATTAATCTAAATAATCAGTTATTTTAGAATGGAAAAAAAGTGTTGCATGATCCTCAGACTTCTCCACGCCTTTATCCAATGGCAGAGGAAGGAAAAAATCACATTTCTGTGATCCTAAAAGGGAAAAAAAAAATATGGGGTAAGGATTTTATATTCAGTCAAACTATCCCATACGTACAAAGGGTACAGTTTTGAACAGACAGGAAATCAGAAAATACTATTCTCCAAGGGGTTTGTTGCCAGAGAATAAACCTCAGCCAACTCAACTCCAGAAATGACGAGAGAAGAGATTATGGTGCTCACAGCACATACTTCAATGCAATCCAAAATTAAAAACAAATGTGGAATCGAATGTGACCAATTAGAATATAAATTTTCTAAATGCTCATGATGCATAAATGACACAGCAAAGAAAAACTGAGAGAAAAGGAAAAGGAAGAGAACTTGAACAAAATTCCCTTTTGACTCTTTTAAAGTAGCCAAAAGCAAGAGCAACACACTTTAAATAAAAGAACCAAGCAATCGACATTTTATTTAACAGAATAATTAAACATCAAGAAAGACATTATTATTAACTAAGTTGGATAGTTGCTAACATAATGGCATAGACATGAGTCATGTAATAAATAATTAACAAGCTGGTTTTATTAAAAAAAAGTCCTACTCTGTGAAAGACATAAACTAGGAAAAAATAGTTGCAAAACACACTTATGGTAAAGGGCTGACATTGGAAATATTCAGAACTCCTGGAAACCTACAACAGAAAGGAAACAACCCAATTTTAAAGTGGACAAAAGACCTGAACAAGCACCTCATTGAATATTCACAGGTGGCAAGTAATATGACAGACTGGGAAGACTATCAACAACAGAAATGCATCTGGTTTGCAGCCTTGGAGTAGGAGTCCAAGAGCAGGACTTCTGTGAAGTCTTCCTACTGTGTCACCTGTGGAAGTCACCATGAGCCAGCATGCACAGACCAGCAGAGACAGGCAGGCCAAGTCCACCCTTCATTAGCCCACACTTGAAAACAGCATCAACCCACCCATCAAGCATAGTAACCTAATCTCCTCTCAAAAGTCCTAGCTCACACACCCTTAACAGTGCAGTTCAACTTCACCATGAGGACTGGAGAGGACATTTAACGCACAGCACAAATACAAAGGAAAGCCACTCTGAAGTAATACTGCACCTATTAGAAGAACCAACATCCAGACCACAGACATCATCAAATGCTGACAGGAAGGAGCATTGGGAACTCTCATTTATTGCGGGTGGGATGCCAAATGGCACTGCCACTTTGGGGGAAAGCTTGGCAGTTACTTAGGAACCTGAGCATAAAACATGGTCCTGCAACTCGCTCCTTAGTTCTTACCCCCAGGAGTTGAAAATTTGTATTGATGTAGAAACCTGCAGCCTTATTTAATTGCCAGAATCTGAAGCAATTTGTCCTTTAGCAGGTGAATGGACAAACAAACTGATATATCCTGATAAGACAGTATCAGTCAGTCCTGAGAAGAAATGAGTGGCCAAAAGCCATAGGAGATATTAGGAAGCCATGTTGAGAAGCCCACATAATTATTTAATTCCAACTGTAGGTTATTATTTGGGAAAACTGAAATAATAGAAGCAGTAAAAAGATTAGTGGTATCTGGAGTTCAGAGAGAAAGATATAGTTTTTAAAGGGAAAAAACTGTCACAACTTTTGTCATGCCAATTACAATCACAGTATTATTACAATATTGAGATTTTCAGTATACTATTAAGATGTGCATATATAAAAGAAAGTAATTACAGGCTCTTTATTCTTTTAATTTTATTTTAAAGAGAAAAAATTTAAAAACAGATCAAGAAGCAAATAAGCCTAAAAAATAATACCAAAGCAAAACAACAAAACATAGCTATACAGGTTTTCAAAACAAAATGATAGGAATTTAATAACAGTTGCTACATTGCATATTGTTATCTTCAAAATAGTTGCCACGATGCACACTGCCATCTTCCAAGTAAATGCCCAGACCACCAGTCCAGCCAGCAGAGTCAATCAAACAATACAAGCATGGAGATGTTCCCTTCGCCTCAGTTACTATCATCTTATCCTGAGTCCTCTGAATCAGTCAGTTGCTTAGTGGGGCAGAGGGAAGACACCTGGTCTCCCAGTCTGTGCACTGGCTGGCTCACAGGAAGGCATGGTTCGGCTTCTTGCTGGGTCTCTTCCCATTCCCCATGGTGGACAGGACCTCATGGTTTCAAGCTCTTTTTTTCATAGTTCTGAAATAGCTATAAAATCAAAACATTTACAGACTGATTTTTAAAAATACAAAAATATAATGGAAAGTAAGAGTTTAGGGGACAAATGATGCTTAATGGAAATAGAGTTGTGTCTCACATAGCAAACAGAGTTGACATATGCGTTACTCAACGGGCCTTTTGAAGATTCAATTGTCCTTCCAGGTTTTTTTCAACTTGAAGTCATTTATAATGATGTCTTTTGTTGTTTAATAGTGCAAAACCATCACTTCTAAATTATGTTTTTTACCAGCTCACAAGAGTAACATGTTAAATCTTTTGGGCAAACAGAGTAAAATAGTGGATAAAATATATGTATGAGCATTAAAATCACCTGATATTCTTGTAACTATTTAGAATACTCAGGTTTTACTTTACCAGCTTGTTGAACTCAAGACAGATTTTAAAGTTATGCTAAGGTGCTCTTTCAGATCTTTGATAAACATTAGGTTTTTAGAACAGTAAGGATATAAAACCATCTTCATAACCATCTCCAGACAAGCAAACTTGGTGCATCCTTGGTGGGTGAGGTCTGATTTTAAGACCTCTCAGGACATTTGCTATCTCAGTCTGATGCTCTCCACAGGTGACCCAATGTAAAGACATGGGTCAGAGTGCACATCTCGGAAATTCAATGTTCCTCCTCACACTGAAATATTCCAGGTCTCTCTCAATAGACAAAAGTAACCTTTGAGCCACGACTAGGAGAAAATCGTAGATAGAATAAGTTCTTTTGGAAAATAACCCACGAATTTATAACTAATAGAAGGGAAAGTGAGGAGATCAAAGGAGAGGGGCATAGGAGGAGAAGAGAGGAAAGGAAAATAGTTTGAGTTAAGAACACCAAGAACCAGATTACTCACTGTTTTCAATATTTTGCCATGTAAGCCACTTCTAAACAATGAGCACTAGCAAGAATACTGGTGCAAAAACACATTTTATCACAAAAATATAGTGCAATAAAAACTACTTAGTACTGTCACATGAGCCTGGTTTATTAGCAAAACTGTCAAGTCGAGACCCAGAAACAGGTTCCTACATTTCACAGAAGTGAGGCTCTTAGTCCTGCAGTTGCTTAAGCTATCTGTAGCTTTTTAAAAATATGACTTATCAAAGGTAGATTTATTTCTCTTGGGTTTTACTTTCAAGTTAAGATATTTAGTTCTGGATTATACCAGGTCTGAAATTCCCTACAATAACTTGCAATATACAAAATAATGGCTAATAGTCTGCATAATTCTCTTAGCTGTTTCCTGGAAGTAATATGGAGACTTAGCAACATCCATCTCTAACGGTCATGAATCACACGGGGAGTCAAATTGGCCTGTTATATTTGGTTTTACTTTGTTTGTTCAACATGATAATCAAGAAGTCTTAGGATAAATTACTGCGCAGAAGTTCCCCTTTTCCTCAGAGTACATACGGAGATAGCTACATGACACAGAAGTTTCCATGAGTAGCTACAGGCTTGCACACATACAGTCCCTCTTGCCCACTGCTATACATGTCTGGATGGCACACTACTCACTGCATTGCATTCCTGGACTTGCTAACTAATGGAACAGCTTTGAGTCATGTATCAGTGTTTTAAGGTTGCCATTAGAAATGCCATATATGGGACTCACACCAGAGAAATAAATGTTTGCCACAGCTCTATAGATCGACAATCCAAGATCCAGGTTTTGCAGGCCTGATTTCTTGTAAGGCCTCCCTGCTTGAGCTACAGATGTCTGCCCTCTTACCATGGCCTCACCTGGGCAGTCTCTGAGTGTGCATTGTGGTGCTGCCCTGTTTGTAAGGCCACAATTACTAAGTGAAGATCTGACTCCTGACCTAAACTGTCTTTTCCAAGGCTGAGTCTCCAAACACACCTCACTGAGAGTTACGGTTTCAACCGAAGAACCTGACCAAGACCCAATTCAACCTGAATGTCTACAGCCTCAGAAAGATAACAAACAGCTGTATCAGAGTTATACTTATTGATAAGGTGTTCTCTAGACTCTACAGATTGTATCATGCTATACCATTTGGATCCCAGATTACCATGCCATGTACTGTCACACCAGTGTTACAATGCCCTCACACCCTGCCATGTGTCCTCTGCTGCCTGCCCAGCTTACAGCGACTTCAGTGAAGCGACTTCAACTTCAGGGATTGAGAAATAATCTTTTTGTATGTTCCAGCTGATCAATGCATAAGTGGCTGGAGTTATTTCAAGATGAAGATTTTCTGTAAGACTGAAAATTAAAATATGGTCTTACAAACAAGAAAGCTTGAAATTATCCAAATTAGAGAGTATAGACCACTCACAACACAGACTCTGACAGAAGAACTGTTTCAGCAATATCCCGATTGTTCTCCTAGCAAGTGGTCTTTAACATAAATATGGGCTTTCTCCTCTAACGTAAGTGAAAAGAAGCTGGGATTGTTGGTCTTTCATATAATAGGAGAGACTCACCACTTGTCGTGGAAGATAGGGACTGCAAAGTACCACATGGATGTGATCGCTTGACAGCTAGACAGAAGTTAGGAGGCCTGTGCTGTAATAAGGAAACAGATGAGAACCGAAAGGCATCCCTCATCAAAGTACAGTGGAAGACGTGAGTGGTTCAAACGAGATCAAAAAACCCAGAAAAGAACAAAGATCATTTCCTGTTCACTAGCTATGTGGATTTCATTTCGAAGTAGAAGGGGATAGAAATTCCCCAAACAACATTGCTGTGGTTGATTAACTCTGCTGATTTCAGGTACGATTCCCTCCTTAGTCCTTGGAATCAGAAAAGAACCACAAAATCATGTAGACCAATGGGTTGAATGCTGATCTGTGCAATTTACCAGCCCGGAGCACGCAGGAGAAACTGCTTTTGATTTGTGACTTTTAGAAAGTTACTCTACCAGATGATTATGATGGTAATGAGAATTAGGAATGGAATTACAGTTGAGCCCTAAATAACATGATGGTTGATGTTCAAACTGCTATTTAGCTGTTGCACTGAACTATTTGGAACAATGAGAGGGACAGGGTCAGCTTGTGAAGCACTCATTTTAATTTTGGGATAACCAATTTGTTGGCCTTTTCACTGCTTCCTGAAAGGAAACCCAAGGTCTGAAGAACTTGCCCATGGCATATATTCAAGGAGAAAATTAGAGCTCCCCTGCCTAGGGGGAGATGTTCAACTTCTTTCTCCTCTGAGGGGAGTTCAGCTTCACAGCTGAACTCAAAATCTACGCCACAGAATGAGAGATTCTCTACAATGGCTCATTACAGCTAATTACTGTGGGATGATCTCCCCCTTTTTTAGTGTCTGTGGGATACATCATTATTATTTTTCTTTTTTGAGAAAAAGGGAGATGTAGGAGTACTGCTGTACAGCTGTGACTTAAAGCCATCATATATCATAGAGCACTCGGGTTAAAGTTCACTAATCATAAAGCATCATGCTGACAGCTAATTTGCTCCTATCTTCATCTGCTAAGACATTAGCAGGATTTAATGAGGAGGGATCAGTGGCAAACATTCATTATATATCTTCAGATGATTGAGTGGATTATTATGGTAATTAAAATCAAGAGTCACAAAGAAGCAAATTAGAAATGAGAGTCCTGAGAATCAAATCCGTAAGAAGTAGGGAAAGTTTTTTTTTTTTTAAATGATATAGTCTGGCCTATGTTTGTTTCCAAATTATGTATTTTGCATTTTGTTCTTAACTCTTGAAACTACATTTGAAAAATATGTATATAATGTGATGGTTACTCACATAGAACTAGGTGAGAGTTTTTGACAATAACTGCCCTCAAGAAACCAGCATATTAACAATGTCATATTATTATTTCAAATGTAGCTTATGTACATACTATGATGCTACTGGTATTACAACAATGGGTATGTATAATACAGACCTCTCTGCAATATTTCGTCAGTGACCATATCATAGGTAACTATATCACTCCATGAGAAAGACGGTAAGTGATTCACAAATGTGCTGATAAATTTATTCGTTGTTTTGGAACAAAACATGAGAACATTCAAACCATCCTTTGATTTATAAAATGAAAAGGTAGAGAGCACTTGTAGGACTTTTTAACTTTCAATTTTGTATTCTTCTGAATGACTTAAATTTTGTCTATAACATGTATTTTTTACTATTGGTAGCTAAATAAAAGCAACAAGCAAAGAGAGAAATAGAGAGGCTAAATTTCAAAGAGTAAAGCAGTATAACAATTCAGATTGCCTGGTTTTGATTTTTTAAGTAATTTTTTTAAAAGGTCAAATATTCCGGTACTTAATCTTTAGCTATTTGTAGAAAAATCTGTAAACACAAGGGCAAACATCTGTGCCCAGATTCTCAAATGAGTCACCACCTGATGCAGCTCTAGCCAGGTGTCCCTCGGAGCAGTGGACTCCGTGTGCTCCGCGCCAGGAGGAGAACCCTGACCCCAGCCTTTTGTGTGGTCAGTGTTACTAACACATTCAAAGGACGCAAAGGACACAAACTCCCTGGGAAGCTCAATTCCTGCAGCCTGCTTTTATTATTAGTATTATTATTTTCTTACTCTGAGGTAATGGTTGGACCTAGTGGAAGGAAATCTTTGTTTATTTACTCTGATTTTACTAAGAGCTCCTTTAAATCACAGGGCCTCACTGGGGAAACACGTGTGAGGGCAAATACACCAAAAAGTGTGATGGCTTTGGTTTCATGTTCCTTCCCAGCCCATTCTGCATAGGCCCCTCTGTGAGGAGTCTGGAGAGAAATGTCTGTCTGTTCTAAAAGAAACCAAATGATTAATCTGTTTTTACCTTACCTTCTGGACAACGCACATTCTGTAACAACTCTTGCTTCTGTTTTATAGTATGGAAAGCGTGTACCCTACCTACCTGTCTCTAGACCATTCCATCTCAGGGCCAAAACTGAGTCACCTTAACATTAATTCCCAGACAAGGAGGGCCAGCAGACTTCTGCCCTGTACAGAAGAAACCCCTGGCCAAACAC